TTATTATTATTATTATTATTATTATTATTATTATTATTATTATTATTTTGCGCCCTTGGCAGTTTACTTGGTGCCTGGATGCTTGCATTCGGGAAAGGTTTGTCGACAACAAGCGAGCCCGGGAGCTGCAGGGTTTCCTCGACGGAGTGAAAAAGGGGCAAGAGCAAGTGTTGGGGTGAGTGTCGGATGTATCTGGAGGCAGGTTGGGCTCCTCTTGCCATGAGAAGAAAACCCCATAATGGTTATTCACGCAAAGTGAGGCACCTGCTGCTCTGCTCCCTTTTGTGTGTGTGTGTGTGTGGGGGGTGGCGCTTTGTTCTAAACTGCCTGGATCTGAACCGGTGTCAGGCGTTTTCTACGCAGGCATGCGGGATGCCTAAATCAGCCCCAAACCCCCTTCCGCCCCTCGTCTGCCCACACCTTTACCCCGGCCCAGTGCAGGGGATCCTTGACTTAACAACCCCTCCATTGAGTGAGGCCAGACTCACTGAGCAACGTACCCCTTGTGGGCTCACTTGTGGTCATACGTTGAGGAGTCCCCCTCGGTTGCTGCAGAGGTTCCGCTTCTTCTTCTCTCCCTCCCTCCCTCCCTAGGGACTTGTCCATGATCCTGTGCGATCCCTTTGCCATTAACACCTTGGCTTTGAGCACCATCCGGAATTTGCAGGAGCTGATTGGCCAGGAAGTGTTACCCAGGGTAAGTTAGGGATGGACCTTCCAAATAGTAATCCTAGGGCTGGAAGGGACCTCCGGAGGTCTTCTAGTCCAAGCCCCTGCCCGAGGCAGGAGATCTTATTCCACCCCGGACCCAGCGGTTCTCCAAGGAAGCGAAGTGGGTTTGCAACCTGCCTGTGGGGCTCTCAGAACTGAACTCTACATTTCCTGACGGAGGGAAAGCGCAAGAGAGACAGGTGACGGAAGGGGCCTCCTCCCCCTGGTGGAAAAAGGACCCTAATGGCCACGGCCAGATCTTCAAAAGAAGCGATAGAACAGAATAGAAAATAGAAGGATAAAATAGAACAGCAAAAGGATTGGAATGGAATGGGATTCTTTATTGGCCAAATGTGATTGGACACCCAAAGAATTTGTCTTTGGTGCATAAGCTCTCAGTGTACATGAAGAAAAAATAAAATACATCCATCAAGAATCATAAGAAACAACACTAAGTAAGCAATCAAATCACACTAGGAAGCTAAATAAAGTAATATAAATCGTAAAAGGAAGGATGGAAAGAATAATAGTGATACAGTCTTAGTAAATAGTTGGACAGTGTTGTGGGAATTAGTTGTTGAGCAGAGTGATGGAGTTGGGGGAAAAACTCCCCGTGTGTCTCGTTGTTCTGGTGTGCAGGGCTCTATAGTGTCGTTTTGAGGGTAGGAGTTGAAACAGTTTATGTCCAGGATGTGAGGGGTCTGTATATATTTCCACAGCTCTCTTTTTGACTCGTGCAGTATTATACAGGTCCTCCATGGAAGGCAGGTGGGTAGCCATTGTCGGTAGCAATAGAGGAGACCGGTGGTGCCACCACTCAGAAAGTGGGGGACAAACAGGAGGAGTTTAGCCTTTCTCGCAATCTACTGGGGTGGCCCTGTGGTCTGTCAAGCCACTGGGCTCACAGGGATGGGGATGGAGAAGAAGAGGCAAGTGACAGGCCCGAAGAGCAATCTTTGTGATGTCACGGTGCACATTTTGGCAGTCATTGGGGTGAGTTCCGAATGCAGCCCCAGTCGCTTAATTTCCACGTGTTCATTGAGCGCGTTAGTGTGACCTGACAGGTTTTAGCCTCCGGAGAATTCACGCAGGGCTGATTCCATGCTCCACATGGTTGAATTTTCAGGAAAGCCCAGAGCTCTTGCTACTTCTGAGGATGCTGTCCCTGGGACAAGGCGCTTGGGATGTGATCGACAGCCAGATCTTCAAAGAACCCAAACTGGTAAGGGGCCCAGCGTGAACACTATCGCTTAGGGCAGTGGTCCACAACCTTCCCAGCTGGGCGTCCTGGCCCGGCGCTGGTGGGTGTGTGAGTGGCAGGCGTGGAAATGCAAGTGCCCTCCACTCACGCTGCCTGCTTGCCTGCCACTCAGTGGTGGGATTCAAAAGTTTTCACTAGCGGTTCTGTGGGCCTGGCTTGGTGGGTTTGACAGGGGAAGGATACTGCAAAATCCCCCTTCCCTCCCCACCCCACTAGCCTGCTTTCCAGCTCCGTTCTCCTGTGCAGGGCAACCAAAGGAGACCCAGCCGATCAGCTGGGATTCAGTGGGAGGCAGAGAATAGATGGGGGGGGCAGTCAGAGGTGGGATTTGCTGGTTCTCCAAACTACTCAGAATTTCCTCTACTGGTTCTCCAGAACCGCTCAGAACCAGCTGAATGCCACCTCTGGTGCCACTCAACAAGAGTGGAGCTTCACACGTGCACCCATGCCCATCTCCCCCGTGGCCCAGTTTGGTAGTGGGCCGCAGCCCAGGGGGTTGGGGACCTCTGGCTTGTGGTCCTGAAGGTCCGATTCTCGCTAGCAGTTAAGGGTAAAGTTAGCTGACCCTCCACTGCCTTCCTGTATCCCAGGAGGTGGATTTGATCACCAAATTTTTGCCCATGCTGATGGCCTTCGTGGTGGACGACTACACCTTCACGGTGGATCAGAAGCTGCCCTCGGAAGAGAAAGGACCGGCGTCTTATCCCAGCGCCATCCCAGAGGCGTTTCCAAAGTGAGTCGTTTCAGCTTGGGAACCTTTGCCCATCAGCCATGACCTGGGGGTCGGCAGGGCTGGAGAAGGTGGGCTTCTGAGACCGAAGCCAAAATGTAGGTAGTTAACTTACTTACAACCACTTACGACCACAACTGGGACCAGAACGAGCAAATGGACGGACACAGCAGCGGAAGCTTTTCTTTCCTTGTGCGCGCGTCCCAGATTTCTGCAAGAGCAGCGGATCGCCTGTGAGATCGGCCTTTACTACGTGCTTCACCTCACCAAGCAAAGGAACAAGAACGCCCTTCTCCGCTTGGTTCCCGCCCTGAGTAAGTCCCCTTGCCTCGTGTCCCAGTGGTGAAAAAGTGAAAAGGCCAAGGCGGCATTGGTGGCTCTTCAAGTTGGGAAGAAAGTGCAAGACTTTTAAGACCAAAAAATACCCAAAAAATGTGCAATGAAGACCTTGTGGGGCCATCCACCATGGAGCCCACCCCCCCCCCCCCCCCCCCCCCGGTTCCCCCCCCCCCACCCCACCCCCCCTTCTCAAAGTCACCCTAAGTATCTCTGGGCCTTTTGTAGCGGAGACCTTCAACGACCTGGCCTTTGGCGACATTTTCCTGCACCTGCTCACTGGCAACCTCACCTTGCTGGCTGACGAATTTGGGCAAGACGATTTCTGTGCCGTCCTTTTCGACCGCTTCTTCCTGACTGCCTGCCCCAGGTAACCCTTGCCTCCTTTCCCGGAGGAGGCAGCGGAAGTGTTTCTTGCACTTGTACTTTAAGCTGCCTCGGGAAGCGAGGGGAAGAGAAGAGAAAGGGGGAAGGGAAGGAAGGAGGAGAAGGGAAAGGAAAAGCAGAGAAGGAAAATGTGAAGGAAGGGAAGAGAAGAAAAAAGAAGGAAGGAAAAGAAAAGTGGAAAGGGAAGGGAGAAGGGAAGAACGAAAAAGGAGAGGGGAGGGGAGAACGGAGGGAAGGGGAAAGGGAAGGGAAGGGTTGCCTCTTGTCCTGAGGCAGGTAGTTAAGGAGACTGATTGGGAGAAGCTGCTGGGCTTCCAAACTGCGCCACCACCACCACCAGCCTTGTTTCAACCCTGTGGTCCAGGAAGGACAACGTCCACCGGCACCTGCTGCGGATGCTGCTTCACCTCCATCACAAAGTGGTCCCTGCCAAACTGGAGTCCCTGCAGAAGTCCTTGGAGCCCACCAAGCAGGTAGAGTGGGGGGGGGGTGCAGGGGGCGGGGCCCATAGGGTGAAGAGAAGGCTGACCCTTTTCCAAACCTTCTGCCCGGAACAGAGCAGCGAAGCGGTGAAAGAGCTTTTCAACCAGCTGGGAGAGAAACTGGAAGTCCGCAAAGGCAGCCCTGGGCCGGAAGCGGAGCCTCCACCACCGATGGACCTGCCCCTCCCGGCAGTATCTTCTACGCCAGTTCCACCATAGATGTAGCGGGGGTGGGGGGGGTGAGCATCCCCTCCCTCCTCCCCGGAGAGCCAGGCTCCTTCCTGGCCCCGGGCGTAAAGGGTGGGGCATCGCTGGGAACACAAGGCCCCCGGCCCACCTTGGAGGAAGCTTCTCGGGCGCCCACTCAGCACCTCATCTCATGGTCCCCTGGGGGCCTCCCTAGAAGGGAGCTGCACCATTAAGGGTGGGGCCGGGGGGGGGGATTTTTGAAGGGGGAGGTCCTTTGGGGCCGGGGTCTCCTCCAACCATGGCGCCTTTTCAAGCTTTTGTGGACTCCCAGAGTGCCTCAGCCAGCCGGTTGAAGCGGCCAGGGTGGGGGAGGTCTAGGGTGCCTGGATCAGCCCTGGAGGGGCAGGGCAGGTTTCAATCCAGGTGCTATTTTTGTAAAGAAAAAGAAAAAACAATTGTGTGCCTAGGAAACGCACCAAACGAATGACAGAAGTTGGGAGTAATTTGTTTGTACCTTTTTTTTTTTTTCCTAGTGTAGGAAAAAATAAACTTTCCAAGCCTCTGGTTTGGCGTTTGGTTTTGGGTTTTTTCCTCTTTTTTTTCTGTTGTGGTTGATTTACTCCCCATAACTGGATCGCTTAGAGGTTTTTAGGAAGACATGGGACAACCATTTGTCTGAAACAGATACGGTTTCCTGCTTGAATGAGGGGCTGGATTGGAAGACCTCCCAAGGTCCCTCCCAACTTGGTCATTCGGTTCTAAATTGCACCTTCTCCCTCTCACACACGCAGCCTTGTGTGTTTTGGGGATCAGCTCGGGAGCCTTGCTGTGCACCCCCCCCCCCCCCCCAAGCGGGCAGGGCCCGAGGAAAACCACGTTTTCTGTAGGGATTCTCTGCCATCCAGGTCAGGGTTATTCCCAAAGATGCTCGTTTCAAGAGGCACCTGGACTTTCTGTTTTTCCTTTGAGGGCGTTTCGCTTCTCATCCAAGAAGCTTCTTCAGCTCTGACAGGGTGGTGGGGAACGGAAGGATTTATATTCCTTGCAGGCAGCTGGTGTGGGAGGAGGAGTGGATTTCCAGAGGGGGCTGGGGGTGGAAATTGCCGACTACAGGAACCAGGAGCACCACTCAGGTGGTGGACACAGACAGACCTCCAAGTGGCCCCAATGACTCTCTAAGAAGGATGCAAATGACCAGCTGTGTCTGCAAGGAGTATAAATCCTTCCGTTCCCCACCACCCTGTCAGAGCGGAGGAAGCTGCTTGGATGAGAAGCAAAACCTCTTCAAAAGAAGAAGAAGCAAAAACAAGAAAGTCCAGGTGCCTCTTGAAAAATAGCCCCTTTGGGACCCCTTTGTTTTCTTCCTACGCTTCCGTTCTTCCCGGATTGTGTTCCTAATAAGGAGGCTTCCAAACTTTGCAAAGACAAGGAGAGAAACTAGGTCAGCCTCTGGATGCTGAAAGCTTTAATGAGCCACGTCCCCAAACCGAGACCCCGGGGAGCCCCTCCCTTGCAGGGAGATTCCTCTCTCATTTCCAGCAGAAGAAGCTACGATCAGCAATTCCCACCCCCCCCCCCCCCCCTTGTTTCCCCCCCACCCCCCCCCCTTTTTTTTTGGTCTAACAGCCCAGCGTCCTCTGCTTCTCCGGCCAGCAGGCCTCCGGAGCTGAGGGACTCCGGTTTTAAAAGCTCCCTGGGGGAGGCCTTTCTCCCAAGGGGAGCCCTCGCCCCTTGGAAAGCAGCCTCCCCCCCCCCAAGCCTGCACTCTGGGCCACTTAGCCTCCGTTGCCAGGGAAGACAAAGAGCCAAATCAATTCTTTCCCCTTTCAAAAAAAGCCTTGCAGAATGAAACTCTTCTTCCTCCTCCTCTTCTTCTTCTTTCTTTTCGGTCATTCCGTTGCTTCGGGTCCCGGTTTGAGGTCTCCGGGATCCCCAACACTGACGTCTCTCTCTGGCTCAGCTCGATCCGGCTCGCCAGCCCCCGGACGGGAGGGGTCGTCTTTCGGGCTGGTGCCGGAGCCCGCCGAAAAGGAACTCGATCCCAGTTCCCCCTGGGAACCGTTTCCCGGAATCCCCTCGGGCGTATTTTCCTCGGCCAGGAACTGGGTGGGGGCTTTCCACCCCAAGGGGGGGCCCTTGGCCGCGAGGTTTTCGCTGGAGAGATACCGGCTGACGGTCGGGATGATTATGGCGCTCTTGGTCTGAGGGATGCCCTCCGAGCCGATCCCTGGCCTGTCCCTCCTCTCTTTCCTGGCCAGCTTCTCATTTGGGTTTCTTTTCCGGGCCAGCATCTGGTCCGTCGCTTTCTCGCGGTGTTCCTTGGCCGACACGGGCCTCAGCCTGGGGGAGTTCCTCAGGGGGGCAGGGAAGCCCCTGAGTTTGCTCCAGGCCTCCATGGGGGGCTGCTGCTCCACCCGGTCTTCCCTCTTGGGCGAACGGCGCTTCGACCTCTGGAAAGCTTCGGTTAAGGGCCCCGCTTTGTCAGGGACGGGGTGATGCTGCAGGTGTGGGAAGTAAGAGTTGACCGTTGGGCCAGGCGGGGCGCTTTGAGCGGGCGCCAGGTCGTGTTCGTTCACCAGGACCAGTTTGTTGATCTTGTAGGTCAGGCTGGTCAGTGCCTGAGCCGGATTCTTTCTGAAGAAGTCGCTGCCGACCGGGCAGTTGGCATCTGGGGTGGCATTTGCCCTGGGGGGGAAAGAGGGGCGAGAGGGGGGGGGGGGGAATGATTGGGAGAAAGAAGGCTGCTAGTCCCCTGCTTCTTGAAGCCCCCAGTGTGAAAAGAATGCATCCGAAGTTGTGGGCTGCCTGGTGCTCTCTGAGCTGGGGGTTTTTTCCTGCAGAGGCCTTATCACCCTACTAGGGAACATCATCAGCGCTAGAAGGGAATGCAAGAAGCCCCACTGCCTTCAAGCACTGATGATGTTCCCTAGTTGGGTAATGAAGCTGAAGGGGCCAGGATTAGGCCAAAAAACAAAAAAGAAACCCCAGGGCTGTAGGAGCTGATACCTTTGGGATTTACGTATGTCCCACTGATTGTGGGGCATCCAGACCGACAACTGCGTGGACCTTGGCGGCTTCGGATCTACCTTCCCCTGGTAGATGGAGCGCAGATTCTGCTTTGTGTTTTCTTGAGGGGACTGGAAATTCGATTTTCCTGAGAGCAAGGAGAAGAGAAATCTGCCCGATTTCGGCCACTGTCCGATGTTTTGCCTTTCCTAAATCTCTTCCTGGCTGCTTTGATCCCTTCCTGCCCTTTCGGAGGGAGAAGGCACACCGGTGCACAAAGAATTTCTTGTTCCCCCAGCCCAAGTTCCCCCACCATTCTTGTTAATGTTAGCCAGCCTGGTTTAGCTACGTTAAGGTGGAAGGTCTCTACAGGCCTACAGCCATCAAAGGGCAGCAGGGAAAATAAAGGAACATTATGGGATGAGCTGTCAGCTCCACTAAACCGAATTTGGAGGACACCAAGAAGGGATTTTCTTCTCAGGGAGAAGGAAGGCAGGGCAATCTTAAGAAATGGTTCGGTGGTTTTCTTGGGCTTACCTGGGTATACAAACTGGAATTCAGAGACCGTTTGGTATTTCCTCTTCTCCACAACATTGGGGTATTTTATTTTTCTGTTCAGGAAGACAAAGAAGGCGAAGAATAGGTTGGTTTCCCATCAGCTGTCCCCTCTGTTTAACGCCCAGCCCTCCCGTGTTACGGCGTCCTTCGTTGGCTCCTGGTGGTGGCCTGATGGAGCCTTCCTGTCGCATTTCTGGTGGGCCATGAGCTAGACAGCGCTGGTGGCTTACATAAGTATATAAAAGCCAAAAGGAGTTTGGGAGCACCTCTCCAGCTGACAAATCTTCTCAAAATAAGTTACTATTTTTTTGCCAACATAGACTAAGCTAGCTGTCCTTCATTGCCTATAAATACCAAGTAAAGCATGGGGTTTCTTAGTGAACTGTATTTTATCTTTCTATCTATGTTTCTATCCATTCCCCTCTCTCCATTTTATAGCCATCTAACATCTATCTATTCCTTCCTTTCCCTCTTCTTTCCTTCCTTCCTTTCCTTTCTCTTTCCCTCTTTTCTTCCTTCCTTCCTTCCTTCCCTGCCTCCCTCCAGTGGTGGGATTCAATTTTTTTTTACTGTGGTTCTGTGGGTGTGGTGTGGTGGGTGTGGCAGGGGAAGGTTACTGTAAAATCTCCAGTCATGGTATTTGCCGGTTCTCTGAATTACTCAAAATTTCCGCTACCGGTTCTTCAGAACTGATCAGAACCTACTGAATTCCACCTCTGCCTCCCTCTCTACTTTCTTTCATTCTTTCTTTCTTTCATCTTTCATTCTTTCTTTCTTTCTTTTTCTCAAAAAGGTGATAGGTGCTGCCACCTAGCGGGGCATTTTAAGTAGGCATGTTGGCTAGGAAACTGAATTCCTTCAGTAAGCTGATGGAAATAAAATGTAAGCTAGCTTTTCCTAGACATTATATTACCTTTTGTTTTCTCTGCTGTTGCTGACGTCTTTAGGTTTTTCTGATGGCTCCGTTCTCTCTTTCCTGGGCGTTCTTTTCTTTTCGATTTCCACCTTGGCATTATGGGTCTCTCCCTGCATTTTGAAAATAAATAAAAGAGTGGTACTATATGAGCTACATCTGCTTCAATATTCTTCAATAACCATGGTTACCTAGGAATTGAATGCTCGTTCCACTTCGCACGTCAGCAATGTTTGCTTGAAAGGATGCTAAAATAGCAACACATTGTCCAGGTTCCTGTCCCACTCACCAAGTTGTCTGTCTCCGAAGATCCGTTTCTTGTGTCCTCATTGCTGCAACATAACTTGGTGGCACTCTCTTGGCTTTCTGATGACAAACTGGGTGAGAAAAGCATGACAACCTTTCAGAAATGTCACATCTACTCAAACCAAAACTCGATCAGCCACACGTTTCCCAAAGCACGTCCTTCAAAAGGTCTCCAGAAGTTTAGGAAGCCAGCAACGTCAGAAGTGGTATAGTCGGACAAGCTATCATGTTCATTTAATGACCCCATAATCCTTTGGGGGGTGGAGTCTGGGTAACTGAGTGGAGCTGAGTGTTTAGTGGCCGGATGCCCTTCCTGTTGCCAATGTGAAGTTTTGTTCAGCAGATTTATTCTCACTGTGTGCTCAGGGAGAGAGAGATCTGCCTCTGCCTAGGATCGCACTTACAACCTCCTGATTGTGAGGGGGGAGCTCCACTTCTAGGCCACCGCACCACTCGTCGTCTAACAAGCTCTACCACATGAAATGGCCAAGCTTCAGTTTTGCCCTAATTTCAAAGCTGCCTGACTTATTTCTCCGCTTCCTAAGGGAAGGAGTGAAAGCTATGAATCGGCTTTCAGCTCAAATCTCACCTCTGCCAATAGTTCACACAGGTGTTGACTCAACCACAACCTTCTGCAGCCATGCAAGTGCTCATATTATGGA